CCTCTGGGTCAGTCCCCCTCTTAGAGTCTTCTTTGGCCTTATATGCTTATTTCTAGCACCACTGGGGTAACTGTTTGGTTATAGTCTCATACTGGACTGTAAGCTAAGTGCTGACAGGAACTGTATCTGTTTTCTTACCTCCATTCTAGCTCAAGAGAAAAGTAGTGTGTAACACAAAATAGGACTCAAAAATACTTGTTGAAGATTATAGATGGTTGTATGAGTGGCTTGTAGAAGTATCTATTCTTCTACTAGTTAGAATGGGGCACTGCTCCATTTCCAAGATGGTAGAGAGTCTGCTAGGATGAAAACAACCAGACATGGAAGAATAGATCAGATCTTCCACCATAGGCCTCAGAGAAAGGGGGACAGATGTATCCTTCCCCGTTGCCTCCCGAGGCTGTGTTCCTCTGTGGCTTTCCCTGTTGCTGACACTGGCTCTGCCAAACCTGGCAGGCTCCCATCAGCGGGAAACACTTGCTCTGTCTCAACCAAGGGCTGTTCTCACTCCTGCTGGGAAAATGCACCTTTGATGCCTGTACATTAAAGGGGAATTTAGAGTCACACCACATGAGTTTCATTACTCTATCCCTGAGCTGATTCTGTGAACAAAAATTTTATCCACACTAGAAAACATACAGCTTGAACATCTCTAAAAATCTAAAAATCTGAAATCTGAAGTTTTTGGAGCACCCACATGATGCTCAGAAAGTTTGAAATTTTTGTATTAGAGGTGTTCAACCAGTAAAGTATGTGCAAATATTACAAAATATGAAAAATTCTGACATCTGAAATATTTTCAGTCCCAAGCATTTTGATTGTTTTGGGTTTTTTTCCAGTACCGGGGATCAAACTCAGGACCTTGTGCTTGCCAGGCAGGTGTGATGCCACTGAGCTACATCCCCAGCTCTAGTCCAGGCATTTTGGATAAAGAATACACAGCCTGTACAGTGATGATTTTAAGCTTGGGATATAGAGTCAAATTTGTTGAGCACCCCAATTCAGACTCTATCCATGTGATCCTGTGAGAAATAATATTCCTAGCCTGTTTCTTCTATCTGTAGAGTAGGGAGAATACCTATACCATGGGATTGTTGTGGGTTACTTTAAGACCAGCATTTTTCTATAGAAATATCATACAAGTCACAAATGTATTTTGCATTTTCCAGTAGTTCTATTTGAAAAGTAAAATGAAACAAGTGAAAATAATGTTTGATATAATCTAATAGATCTAAAATATTACCTGTTCAATATGTAATAATAAAACAATTACTGAGATATTTTGCATTTTTCTTATTCATATTACATCTTTAGGTCAATGTACATATAATACTTGTCCCATATCTCAGTTTGAACTAGCCACATTGCAGGTTCTCAGTAGTTTGTTGCTACCATATTGGGTTCTAGCTAAGTCATATTTTAAAAAATAAACAACATCAACAAAAACCACCTTCAGCTGGGGGTATAGCTCAGTGATAAGAGTACTTGCCTACCATTTGCAAGGCCCTCAGTTCAATCCTTGGCACCCTAGGGATTTAACATTCACCAAATGTAGGCAAAATTATCGTTATTTTAAAACATCAAAAACTGGTGGACAAACATTTGTATTGCACATTGGCATATGTTGCATGTGGGAAGATGCCTCAGATTTGTTTTTGATTCTGTATGGAAATAAAGGGTTTCCTTTAAGAGTTCTCAGCCTTGCCCTGTAAGTTGGCCTCTCTGGGTTTCAGAATGAATGAGGTCGTGTGGGGGTTTATGGTCGTCTTTTCTTGAGGTGGTGGGAAGGGAAAACTGAATGTGCTTCAACTGCTGCATGCCTGTCTCTGGTTCTTGGCTTTTCTCTGTTTAATTGTTTGGAGCTGGAACAACTTGATCTTAAAACAAAACATATGGACTGAGGGTGATTGGGAGGGCATTTGCTGGTGATGTAGCCCTGAAAGTATGTACAAAGTTGAGGCCCTGGCTCTACACCCTTGCTAGGTACTGTTTTCCTTAGCTTCAAATTGTGTTCTTTTTCCAAATTCTTAAACCTTTGTTTGAAAGCCACAGTCAAAGCAGGAGAAACTGGAGCATGATTGTAAAGGAAATTGTGAATCTTCTTTAAATCTTATTTTCTTTCACCTCTTTGTAGAAAACCATTGGTTTCTAAGCTACTTATATGATTTATGAAAGAGAAAATTTTTGTTTCGAAGAACCAAGAGGAGAACTTTAGAGAGGAAAAAGCAGGAACCCACCCCCAACCCCAGCCCCACTGATTTTCTCTGTTCTTTCTCTCTGTGTGTCTGACCCCTGCATGGGGTTTTTAATGCTATAACTGGATCTTGCCTCTGGCTAGGTTTCTGTCTTTTTACCTCTTAATGCCTTCTTTGCTTGTTGGGGGAGGAAGGGGTGGTGTCCTGATCCTGTCCCCTGTGATTCTAACATGAATGCTGCAACTTTCTGTTCTAAGGAGGACAATGGGAATATATCAGAGTGGTAAGGGCAGGTTAATCAAACCTCTACTCCTCCACTCAGAAGCTGTGTGCTTCTAAATAAGTTATCCAAGCTTTCTAAGCCTCATTTTCCTCTTTCCTAGGAAGGGGGTAAAGTACTACCTATTTCAAAGTACAACTATTGTGAGTTTAAAAGACTTTGTGGCTTACGGAGGACTAAACACAGTGCTGGGCATGTAATAAAACACTTGGCAGATGGCAGGGGCTCCCAGGCAGTAGCATGTCCACCTCCAGCAGCAAGAGGGATGGTTAACCACACCCTCTGCCATGACAGCCTTCCTGTGATCTGCATCTGGTGACACTGTGGCTGGGTATACTCCACCAGTGGGCACAGCCAGTTACACGTGGTGAGGTTGGTGTTAGTGTGAGAGCTTAACTCTGGGCCTCACTGCTTTCTGGATGGCTGTGGGTCTTGTGCACCCACCAGCCAGTGGTTACTCTATCCGGCACCTATAAACAAGACTGGAACGTGATGAGTTGTTTTATTTTTGTATTTTGTTATTTGGGATCTGAAAGGTAAAATGAAATAGCACTCTGACCAGGGCAGTAGAGAGACTGACCACAGTTTTTCTTTTGGGGTGTTGAAAACAAGAAAGCTTTATATCGCAGTGATTGATATACTAAATGGAAAATTCCTTGTATGTGACTTATTTTCCCATTTGATCCCCATTTAATCAATATTACCTGGGTGACTGTACTTGTAATCTTATTGGTTGGTCATGATTTCGTCCCACCTCATGCCCACCTTGTAAATTTCCATTGGGTCTTATAGTTTTGTCCCATTTTGTACCTGCCTCACCACATGGCTTTGCTGTATAAAACATCTTTGAAAAGTGGGGTGGGTGGGCAACCCACTTCCAGTCCCCCTTCTGTCTCTCTTAGAAGAAGCTTTCTTTCTCTCAATAAATTTTTCCTACTCTTAAAAAAAAAAAAAGAAAGATTTCTAAACATTTTTTCAACACCCCCTCCTATGGGGGCAAAAATAGGAAGAACAGTGTCTTCCGTTTTTGCCACATCAAAGATAGGCTCAAGCTTTTTGTATAGGGGCTCAGAAAGCATTGCATACTATCTTATTCAGTATGAGATAATTTGGGGGAACTTTGGGAAATTCTGCTTCTAAATACACCACTATGTTGCAGAGGTTGCAATCACTGTCCAGCCTCCTCTTTCCTCCTTCTCTTGCTGGTTTCCCAGCCCCATTTGGATTTATTAGCCTTGGCCTCCAGAGTCAAATTCCCTGCTGTAAATGGCCAGGACCCCACCAGGTCAGGTGCACAGTTCTCAGATTTCCCTGAAACTGTAAAGAATAACCACTCTTATTTCCTCCATGCATTCTTTCTGGACAGCTTTCCTAACATTTAACTTAATCAAGATGTTAATAAAATAAACAGTGCTGCTGCCGTCAGACTGAAGCTGCTTGTCAGCCTGCCCAGTCTCTTTTCACATCAGTGTTTGGAAAGGAAATCAGAGTTGCTATTGACAGTAAAACTAAGGAATCAGATTTATCTTTCCTCATGACCAGTCCCATCCAGCCCTGATCATTGCACTTAGTGGGTAGGCAGCCCACGCAGTGTGTCCCGCAATCTGTGGCACCCCAGTTACAAGACACTGTTATTTCAAGTACTATCAAGGAAAAAAAACAAATATGAATTCTATCAATTCTAAAACACATCCAAATTTCAGAGTTGTGAAAATGTAGGGGAAAAACCTTTATGTATCTCAGAGTAGATGGGTTGTAGTGAGAACTAAGTAAGAGTGGAAAGTCCCCTGTTTATTTGTCTGTTTCCCTGTCATTGCCCTCCCATCCTGAATGCAGCTGCATGACAGAATCCTGAGCTCTGTATTGGAGTGAGTGCTTAGCTCAGTCCCCCATGTTGCCTGTGCACCAAGTTGTGCATGAAGTTATGGGACTGAGTTTAGTCTAGGAAGAGTCATGGAAACCCTCTGAACTATAATGAAGTAGCCTAAGTTTCTGAAAAACAGAAAAATCTAGGAATTTGTTTGGATCACAGTGAACTTGCCAAGATCCTTGTTAGCTCTGAAGGAGTGTTGAAGGGCTTGTTGAGGAGTATGGGGGTTCTGTGTGCCCTCTGTGAGCTGTTCAGCCATAATAGAGCAGTGCTGAGGAGAAGATCCTGGCTTCCCTTAAGTCCATACTCTGTTTACCCATTTGCTAGTGAATGTCGGTCTCATTCATGAGACACTCATTTCTCCATCTCCTTCCCCTTTAAAAGGCAACATTCTATATTACTGATAACTCATTCTACCTAATTATTATTTTTCATAATTTGAATGACTTCTAAGTACCTGTAGGTCTCCAACCCTTCTTAATGGTATAATAATTTTAAGCAAATGAATGTGATTCTTTTCCTGATAAAAATGGTTGCTCAGATTTTAGAGAAAGCTGTTTCCTAGTCAGGTAAAGTGACAAAAGATTGAAAACTTTATTTGTATTAGTAAAAACATGGTGTTTGCCCTATATTTACACTGCTTTCTTTCTTTCAGTTTTTAGGAATAGCATTCCTTGGAATTGGACTGTGGGCCTGGAATGAAAAAGTAAGTTGGCTATTATGCAAATACACACATTTAGATTAGAGGATATATGCTATATGTCTACATTTTGTCCCTGATCTTCACTAAAAGAGAGCATTCTTAGAAAATAAATGATACATTTTCAAAGACTCATGAGGAATGGAACCTAAAATGAACACTGCATCAAAATAATTACAAAAGTAGTAATGTTAATACACAGTAGAGGATCTGTTTAGAATCTGATCAGTTAGCCTGAGACTCATGTTCCCATGGGGTGTTTCCTTACTTCGGCCCAAGAATTTCAGTAGTGCTTATGAATATCACTAAACCACCTGGAACACTCCCCCACCCCGTCTATCTCTGTCTCTCTGGTCTCTCATTTTTCAATTCTTTGCAGCATGACTCAGTCCATTAAAAATGGTATACTATGTTTAGTGTGTTGTGTTATAAACTGTTATCATGTGGTAGAAGAAAGCCAGATGAAAATACGTGTTTGAATGTCAGAATCATCACTAACGCTAAATAATGTGAATAGTGGCTGCTGGTTGTAAGTATTAAGAAATACTCAGAGTTGATAGTCAGCTACAGTATCATAAAAGGAAAAATCTAGAAATACAGAGCAGCGTGTTCCAAGTGGAAGTGAAGATGCAGTGTATACATGAGGATACTTTGTGTTCATACCTCCCCAAACTTCACATTGCACCTTTTTTTCTGTACAACTTTCCTCATGAGGCCACCACTGGAATTCAGAAATGAAGTTGAGCCCCCTCTTTGTTCCTGTTTGAGGGAGAAACTTACAGTGTTTTATCTCTTTTAGTATTTGGCTACAGTGAGGCCTGCCTGTCTCTCACCTTGTGAAAGTGGAAGGTACTGGGATTGCTTAATACTTCTGTAAACTAAGGATTAGCTTAAGTTTTTCTGAAAAACCATTCTCTTATCTCTTGGGTAGTTACTTTTTGAGCCTGACCACTAGTTGAAAGGAAAAATTCTTTTGAAGTGATAAATGTATGAAGGGCCATTATCAGTAAATAGAAAGGAAAGAAAAACTGAAAAATTCCAGCAAACAAAAGACTTTCAGATGCCAGTGGAAATTTCCACAATCAAAACAATGTTCAGAGAGACCATATGAAACAAAACTCAAAGTAAATCCTGAGTTTTGAAAATGTTTCTTAGCTGAGGTTAGCTGAGGTTAGCCAAGATGTAACTCAGTGGCAGAGGGCTTTGCTCAGTGGCCCTATCCACCTCAAAAAGTGGAACACTTTCTGTTTATTACAAAATGCCTTTATAGTATATGAAATGTTTTATGAAAAATAAACATGCCCCCTCCAGCAAACAACCCTTTGAGGCAAGGCAATGATTATGTATGAACTATAAGACAAATTAAGTTCTCAAAACAGTGATAACTTTATCTCCCCAAATTTTTATGTTGAATATTAATCTTCTGTTGGATTACAAGATTAGCTTCTGCCTTATCCTGGTTAAGCTTAGGGATTTGTATTGCTGGAATCTCAGAAATTCCCCTTTTAAGAGCCCTACAGTTGGTTAAATGCTAGATAACCCAGCATTTTATAACTCCTTTAATAAGAATGCATTTCTGTCTACTTTGAAAAGGATGCTAGATGGCATTAAGTGAGCTAATTGTCTACTTAAGCAATAAACAGACAATTGTTCTTTTTGAAGAGTTGTTTTTCTCTTTCTGAAATATAATTATCTTTTTATTTCATTGGTTGCTTTAAATGTCTCTTCTCTGATAAAATACAAACTCCTGAAATTGGCAGTGTCTCACAAGTAAGAATGAGGGATGACAGTGTCAGAGAAGGAGGAAATAGTAGTCCCTTTGTCAGGGCTACTATCGGCAAATAAAAAGTTTCACTTGAGAGCCAGTGAGCTGGCCAAGGTCTTGCAGGTACAATGTGGCAGACAAAGGAGGACCAAGTGCAAGAGAAAGTAAAGGGGGTGTTCAGCCTGTCAGGATTGCAGTGTGGTGAGCACTGGTCATGTGACCGAGTCTTGGGCATAAGAGGTACAGCATGGCATGGTGTGGAGTCACTACTCATGGAGCTTGCACTCTAGTGAGCACTGGACAGGCAGGGAACTGGCCAAGAATATGCATCCCAACACTGGTGAGTGCTAGCAAGAAACACCAAGTGTAATTTAGGGACTACGTAAGAATGGTAGGAGAAGACATCTCTTTGAGATATAGTTGGCAGCAGCCTCTCAGAGTAGTGACATTGGAGCAGAGACCTGAAAAAAGTAAGAGAGCCCTGCATGGTAATGAAGTAAGAGGAGTCCAGGAGAGACGCCAGGGTCTTGATGATCCCACTGATCAGCAGGAAGGCCAGTAGGGCTACATGGGAAAGAACATGGACAGAAATAGGGAACAAGGCAGGCTTCGCAGACTTCTGGAGAAGTTTGGATATATTCCAAGAAGGAGAATACCACCAGGCATTTTAGTAAGGAGTGTCCCGGTCTGACTTTGTTTTAAGATTGCTCAGTTGCTGTTTGGAAAAAGACAGCTTTAGGGCTGGCTATAGACTGAATATCCATGTTCCACCTAATCTGTATGTGGAGGCCCTAATCCCTGGTGTGATATTTGGAGGGGAGGCTTTGGGGAGGTAATTAGATCATGCGGGTAGAGTGCCTATAAATAGAATTACTCCCCACCAGAAGAGACTGGAGCTGGATAATCCCGCTGTCCACCAGAGAGGACATAACCAGAAGAGGCCCTCACTGGGCACCAGGTCTGTTGGTTTCTTCACTTTGGATTTCCTCACCTCCAAAACTGTGAGAAATAATCATTCTTTAAGCCCCTCAGTCTATGGTATTGGTTTAACAGCCTGAACTAACATAGGGCTAAATACACCTGAGTTCAAAGTTTGGCTTGCCCATTCACCATCTCATCTGTGTGGCTTTGGGCAACTAAATTTACTTCTCTGAGATGCTCTTTCCTTCTCTGTACAGTGGAGACAACGGATCTCACCTGATAAGATTGTTGTGAGGATTAATGAGATGGATCCTGTCACAGTGCCCACTATGAGGTAAATCCTCACTGGTCTCTTAAAAATAGCAATTCTGCTTTAAGGAAGTAAGAGAATAGTTATTCTAAGCCAAGTATGAGCAACGTTCGCCCAGGAACATAAATTCAAGTTATCCTGAATGATGCGTTCAGTTCCAAAAGAGGTTACATGAATATTTACAGTCACAGAGGAAAAAAAAGAAAGTTAGTAATCCATGTATTTATCATCTGCATTGGTAGGAACATCAGGTAGAGGTAGATGGACTGCAGCAGAGCAGTGAAATCTCAGAGTTGGTAGAGCTAGAGATCTGCTCAGTTTAGTGATGCATTCCAGAGGTTTTTATCTGGTAGTCACTAGAGGATTAAGTCAGATAATAAGTTGAAAGAAAATGGCTATCAAAAGATAGTCCAAGATAATTTTGGCTTGGGATCTGCTGCATGGCACCCAGACACGCTACAGGCTCTCATGTAGCTGTGGCCTCTGCACAACCTCAGTGCACAATGGAGGCATGGCTGCCTCACCCAGATGTGTGAGTGTGGCACATTCACCCCTACCTGACGGCTGGACCTGAAGGTGGTTTTGAAAGCTATTTCAAGTTTTAGAGTTTCAGTCACTAACTCATGAACAGAAGATTGGTTTTATTTCCGGGACTTTTAAGGAGGATGTGATATGTGTTGATCACTTTAATAACTACAGAGGTCATTCAATCTTTTGGGCTAACTTCTTCACAGGGCCAGGCCTCTGATGGGATGGCAGAATGATGTGTTTTTGTTTTTGAGACAGGATCTCACTACGTTGTTCAGACTGGGTTTGAACTCACTATGTGGCCCAGTCTGGCCTCAAACTCACCTCGATCCTCCTGCTTCAGCCTCGTTAATGCTGGTTTACAGGTGTACACCCCATGCCCTGCCAGAATGATGTTTTGAGGTGAACCCTAGCCAGGTCAAGATTGGTGGATAATGTACACCTATAAACCAGTAAAGCCAGATCATGGAATAACGAATCTCCCAGACCAAGATCTACTTTTGCTTTAAATCCTCCAACAGGGTCACAGCTGGAAGAATCAGATATCCACTGCAAGGATCAAGTTTCCTTCGTGGATAGAGCCTTAAACATGTTTACATGAAGTATAGAACATTGGAGGCAAAAATGATTACCCCCTCATACTTAGTCAGTTTTAAACATGGGGCTAATATTGCAGTTGAATATAAGAAATAATTATAAATAACTTTATATAAATTTCAAATCAAGCATGAAGATGCAAAACATGCCCGTGTTCCCAGGGGATGCTGGCTTCAGCATAGTTTTTCATTGATTGCAGGATCTGCTCTTTGGAAGAAACTTTAACAATTATGTAGCATGAATCACCTCTATAACACCTTTGACAGCTTCCAATCATAACAAAAGCATTCATTCAGATAACATTTATTGAGAACATAGCATGTGGCAGGGCTTGTGCTGAGCCTAGGAATGTGGAGTGCCCCAGTTTCAGTCCTCTGGGAATTTACCTCATTTCAGGAAGGGTATGGATATATATGTGAAACATAACAATGGCACCTTGCAATAAATGCTAGTTAGGAGTGAAAATATATGTAACAGTCCCCACAACAAAATACTCACCATTTCTGTCTCGTTGGGTTCTTCTTATTGTTCATGTCCCGCTAATTTTCACTCAGTGATCCTGGATCTACCCTTCTGGATCCCACAGAATAAGTCCTTTCACATGTTAGTCCTGAGCAGTCTCAAGTCAAAGTCTGGTTTCTTTGGAATCTCCAGGCTGACATCTCTGGGTGGTCCTCACCGGTCGTGGGCTAGAGTCCCTTTGCCATCACAGCCATGATCCTCTGGCTTCCCCATAGTGTGTCCTCTGCACCCCTGAGTGGGTGCTTTTGGGGCCACAGGGAGTATAGCTGGGTTATGTCCCTTCTCCCCTCATCTGGCATGCATGCAGCTTGAGACTCACTGTTAATCGCTGGTCCCCAGCTTGTTGCAGACCTATCTGGTTTA